ACTGTAAGTGACAAAACTGTTTCCATGACCAAGACAGGAAGAACAGGGTCTACAAGGAATAGCAAGGGAAGCCTCTGTGTTGTTGCTTTTTTATGCTAGGACGAGTCCTCGAGAACTGTGTGAGCTAAAGGATGATGGTCTGTTTGGGGTCCAGACAAGAGAAGGCTACACAAATAAGCAGTCAGTATGCCCTAAAACAAGAACATGGCTTATTTGGACTTCTACTTTCTTAAAAGTAAGAAAGTCATAGGTTACATTAAATGCTTTCTACCGTGAATTGCCTCTTTTTTATGTGGGAGAAAAAGTATAAATAATGTAGAGGTCCTGTCCGTTTGACCAGGGAAGTACTTGTGGAATGGCAGAGTCACCAGGGTCCCAGTAAAGAGCTTAGTGATGAACCAGATGTCACCCCGTCTCTGCTTTAATTATCATGCATGCATAATAACTCACCATCCTTCAACTGCAGGCCAGCATTCCCAATAGCTACTCAATGTCCCCACTGAAGATAGTGCCCGGACAACTAAGGTTCAACACATTTAAAACTGTACCCGCGAGTTTGACTTGCCTCATCCAATCACCCCATTTCATTTCTATGCAACCCTCCACCTGTTTTCTCATGCAGGAATTGGGAATTATTCAGAGCTTCTTTCCATAGCTAATCAGGTATTGATTTATACTTCCTGCTGATTTTCTCTCCTGAAAACTCTCACTGAGAATGTGTCTCCTCTCGAGTCATAACAATAGTCCAGGCAAGCCCAATCTCTCTCAGCTCTCCACCTGAACACAGGCCTTCTGACCCACATGCCAGAGAGATGTTTAGAATGTAAAATTTGGGCAAGTCTCTTCTCTGCTTAAAATCCCTTGATGGCTTCATATTCTGGGACTTCATATTTTTAGGCTCTGCAGAAGCTGGCAAGGATCTATCTATCTAGCTAGCTAGCTAGCTCTTACAGGGACTTATTATGCAGCTGAGACTCATAGTGATCCTCCTGTTTTTCAGTATTTCCAGTGCTGGGATTACAGGCAGAGGCCACTACACCCAGACTTTGTGGCCAGCTCTGCCTGTCCTGGGGGGCGGCGCTGGTGTGGCATGTGGTGCTGGGGATAGAACCAATCCCTGTGCTTACCTAAGCTTGCCTAAGCAGGCACTTTAGTCCACTGAGCAATCTGGCCGGCCCCTGGCTCTGACCTATCTTAACAGTCTAATCTTCCTCTTTTCTAGTCTCATTAGCCTGCTTGCAGCTCCCTGCATTTGCCAGGCTCCCAATGCTCTGCAAGTTCTCCAAGTTGCTGTTCCTTCTGCCTGTACACTCTGTTCCCCTTCCAGGGCTCAGTTCCAATATCCCTTGCTCAGCTCTGCCCCAATTCCCATCTCTCCTCCAATGACAGATCTTATCAAATACATCAGCAGTATTTTAGGTATTTTCTGTATGTTAATATTTATCATTAAATATTATATCACTATAATCCTTTGAGTAGTGCTCCATAAATATTTTTGAATGGAATAATATAAAAAGCCCAGGGCAAAAGTACCTTGAAATTCTGTAACTGTCTACTTTAGGAAGCATTTGTCTGTTTAAAAATATTATCATGATTAAAAAATGTCAAGTATTGACATAAGTAATAACTAGGAAAGGTCTGACTCCTTAAAACTTGTATAGGTCTCAGATGAAAATATCATGAATTAAATATGAAAGGGAGAGGACAGTAGTAATTTGAGAGTGTGGCAGAAGGTCATTTCAGATGGACATGGTATGCCCTCAGAGATACATTATTCAGAGGATACCCAAACAAGGGGTATTTTTCCTAACCTCAGCTGATATCCTATGATGGCTTTTAGAGAGGCACTAGAATATTCTATCACTTTATATGCTTCTTTATACTTTAATCTGCTAAAATGCAATTCTTAAAGAGGTTCTTTAATATGTTCAGTTAATTGAATCTAATCAACACTTAAAGTAGCATCATTTAAAAATATTCTAAATATAGAACGTTCTCATGGAAATTATGTAGGACATTGAATTTCTTAAGGCGAAAGTCACTGGCAAGCCCCAACCTACAGCAGTGCCTTTTAAATAACCAGTGTCTACTGAACTGAAATGAAGAACAACTTCTTGAATTATTCAGTTTCACATGTGCTTTACTTCAGTCAGAACAGATCAGCTGCTTATCACTGTCTTCTAGAGCTTTCTGTAAGAAGTGATGGGTTAACAGGTGTAGGCACTGAAATTTTACCAGGAGAACTTAGTGACCTAGTGAGACCCTGTCTCAAAATTTTAAAAAGGTTTAGGGTGATAGCTCTGTGTAGCTCTGTAGCTTAAACTAACTCCCTTATTAAATCTTATTTCAAGGAGAAAGCACACTATATTTACAGTACGGACATTGTCTATCTGAAAGTATTAAGCAAGATTTTCGTATTTGCTTTTAATTGTAGAAAACTATAAAGATAGTTTTAAAAACAAAATCAGTGGCAAGTGTGATGGCACACACTTGTAATCTCAGCACTTGGGGGCTGAGGCAGGAGGATCTCTGAGAGTTTGAGGCCAACCTGGGCTACATAGTAAGTTCAAGGCTGGTCTGCACTATATGGTGAGACCTTGTCTCGGGAAAAAAAAAAAAGAAAGAAAGAAAGAAAGAAAGAAAGAAAGAAAGAAAGAAAGAAAGAGAAGAAAAATGACCCTATCCCGACAAACGGATTAACCAACCAACCAACCAAAGCAGAAACAAACCCAATTAAGAAAAATCAGAGGGTTACTTATATTTTATGAAATTATTCAGCTTATAAATATATACTGTCAAATTATTTAAAAACTAATATGCTACTCTTTTTTAATGTATTTAGTACAGGGTCTATAATGTGTCACTTTGTAGATTGTACTCATAGTGATCCTCCTGTTTCTAGCCTTCCAAGTGCTGGGATTACAGGTTTGCACCACCATGCCCAGTCTCAACTGCCCTCTCAGCGTGCCCTGGGGATGGGGCCTGGCATGCCATGCCAGGGATCAAACTCCAGCCTCTGTGCTCTGCCTAAGCAGGTGCCTTAGTCTGCTGAACTATCTGACCAGCTAATATGCTACTCTTAAAGAAGGCATGCAATAAATGTCTGTTATACCCCTTTCCTTAAAGGACACCTACAGTTTGTTTCTGCTTTAAGAATGGCTATATTATTTTTTAAATGGCTAGTTTACTATGAGAATAAAACTAGGCTATATCACTTCATTCCATCATAATTTTATATTGAAATATTAGATGATCACTTAGGAAAATCAGAAGGATCAACAGATGATAAATTGCTATAGAAGGACCTATACTTAGGTAATAAATATTTTTCTTTCAACTCTAAAAGTTAACATCAGAAAACTATTTCATTATATCAATCATCAAAAATTTATAGGCATTTTGTATTAGTCCATATAGTCATTTGAACATCAGAAATTTTAAAAATGTTTTCTAATATTTTCTACATGATTATTTTCTGCTTTTGCTTGACCTGACAATATGAACCTTATTCTGACCACAGACATTAAATGAGACACTAGAAAATATCCTATGTGGCTCAAGCAACAATACTTCTTAAGTGAATCCTACAGGTAAATACACATAAACTACCTATTAAAAAAAGGTAGAGAATGCAATGTTCTGCCAACAGCTCCAGCGTTCTTGTCGCTCATGAGGTGGATATCCAAATAAAGATCACTATCATCCAGAAAGTCTGTCCTGTTTATGTTTTATTATTGTAACACCTTTACATATTATTAGGACAAAATAACAGACATAAAACCAACAGGCCAATAAATAAGCAGGTAAGCGTATTAGACAAAAAGCTCATTTTCCAAAGGCAAGCCAACAGCACAATTTAGGACTGTAAAGGTATAATAATGCCTTTCATACGGTTGTAATGAGAAGCTGCCACAGTGCTAAATCAGAAGCTCTAGCTAGACAGCATGTGCAGCTTAGTGTGGAACGTTGTTTCATTTCACATCAAACTTTTTTAGGGGAAGTGTGTTCCAGAGATTGAATGCAGGGCTTCCACTGCCAACTCTGCGCTCAAGACCAGGGCTACAGCCCAAACCACGCTCCCAGAACTAACCTAATAGATCACTTACCCACTGGTTTGAGGGTTGCACCCATCTGTTTGAAGCGAAAGGATCTAATTTTTTATTTTTCTTTGGTGAAGCCGGTCTCATTTTACCCACACATTAATGGAATTACTGGCTTTTGGACAGTTAAAATCAGTAAAAAAAAAAAAAAAAAAAAAAAGGAAGAAAAAAAAGGTGGAGTTACATTTAGTTAGCTAGACTCTGCTGCCAAAAATATTAATGGAAAGACTGAGTCACCTTTTCAGGAGCTCACCTGTGCCTCTTCAGCTCACCGGGCCTTTCACCCATTCCCCACCCATTCATCACCCAGTGCACACACATTAGCCTTAATGAGCTCTTAAGCCGGCAGCTGCCATTGCAAAAGTTTGTTTTTGTTTTTGTTTTTTTCCATTCTCATTTTCCACCTCCAGATCTTCTGGAAGAACTGCATGAGGGTATGGGGACTTTGTTTTCCATTTAAATAAAGGGACCCATGAAACAGGGACTTTCTTCTCCATTTAAATAAAGGGACCCATGAAACTCAGTAAAGAATAGTTGTCAGAACAGTGAGAGAATATGTGCATCTTGTAAGTTTAATGGCTGATTCCTGGGCCATTTATTTCACCCGGATCACAGATGTCACCAAGTCATATATGAGCCAAGCTAGTTTTCCTATACTCCCTACTTATAAGAATATCCAATTTTAATTTCCAGAGAAACATTATCAAATTGTTTCTCACAATTCACTTTTTCCTTAACTCCTTAGGCTCATGTCTTTAAGGTTCTTCCCTCCTCCTGATAGCCTTCTGGACTACCTTTCACAATTTCTTCCCTTCACACACAAGCCTGAAGACCACTCCCATCAAAAAAGAAAAGGCTATCAGAATTAGGATATGAAAATGTGACATAACGACATCTCACCTGTATCTTGTGCAAGTATCATTTTCACCCGAGGGAGCGACAGGCTTCAAAGTGACACGTGGGGAAACCTGGGCCGAGAGCAGAAATCCCAAGGCAAGAACAACAAGTGCTACAGTGGTGCCTAAAAAAGAGGTTTCACATCAGTGAATAGTTGATATGAGAATAAAATTTAACACAATACAACTGCTACTCCAAGAAAAAAGTGGTAATGATACAAACAAATAGTAAAGCACTTAGGATACTGACAATGTTGTTGAGTGCCTATTATATCAGGAAACCCAAAATAGGCAACAGATTTACTAACACTTTTTTCAGAGCCAAGAAAATTATTCTAACCCTACTGGATCATGTAAGATCTACCTAAGTCAGTAAACTCAAACTGATTATTTCCAAAGCAGGTGAAAGAATATTTCTTATTAAAAAGGAAAAAGCATGTATTTTTGGAGGAAAAAAACCCTTTTAGATACCAGAAGTGCTATAACACATTCACATATTTCTTTCCTGTTAGTATTTCAGAACATAAAATGTTGATTTGAAGAAATGACATTGGTGTTTAAGCCTTTTGCTCAGAAGGCCCAATTCTGAGTCCCTGATATACCCAGACGGGGAACAAGAAAGTTTTCAAATTTCTGATCATTAGTCTAGCCAAAGAATTATAAGGATAGAAAAAATAGTGTCCCAGGAAGAAAGCAGCAATGGTTGCATTAATCTGTACAATTTATTAGAATGAGACAATTATGTTTAAAATATGGAATTTAGGAGGGCATGTATACAGTAGTCAAGATTTTATTGGTTTAATTGGAAGGTAATTTAAGATAAGACCAGAAGTATTAAAAGAACAGTGTTAAATAAATTTGGGGAATACTGTGCAGAAACATTGATAGTTCTCTGCTGAGATGTACCATGTTAAACACAGTGCAGTAGAGATGCCCTGGGACTCAGAGGTCATCGGTTTCAGTACAAGCTCAGTCTGGGACGTATCCTAACCTTGAATCCAAGTCTACAGCAGATGGGGATGAGACATCACAGCCTTACAGAGCTTCTCAGGTGATTATGAGGTGCAGGCAAGACAAAAACCCTTATAACAGAATATATCCCTTAAAGAGAAGAATGTGTCCTAAGTAACTGTATTTATGGGACAAACTTTAAAATGATCCTCTAATCCTTTCATTGAATCATATACCATAAAACTACCTGAGTTACCTTTTTTCTTTAACAAGTTGCAGATGTTTTAACCAATAGCTTGTTACTATTTAAAATGCTAGATGTTGTGCCAGATGATTCATAATTATAACCTAGGTTTGAATCTTAATACAAGAAAACTTTGGATGAACAGATTTTCTTCAGTCTCCTGGTCAGTATGGGAAATCTTTTTATTCTCTTAAGCAGAGTTCCAGTAAAGCACACTGGTAAGATTCTGGAATTTGATAACTGTTTTGTAATAAGGATATTCTCCACAAGAAGTGAAGTGTGTTAGATTACGGCCATCTCCAAAAATATTTGATGTAATGTTGCATTAGTTATGTAGCACATGTCTTGGATTTTTACTAAGTACTAAAAAAAACAGAGAAAAATCCCCTTCCTGAGCGCTTACAGAGTATGACTAAGAAGCACTAGAGGAACCTGTTTATATGCACATGCTCTAGTCTTCAGAGATTCTAACTTAGTGGATCTGAGATAGAGCCCGTGAATCCACATCTGAAAGTAAGTCGCCTTGGTAGTTCGCAGGCAGGTGGTCTACAAGTAATGTTTGCAGAAATACCACTATCAAAATATATGCTAGTATAACACATTGTGTTTCTGGTCAAGATTTTATTGCCTACATAGTTACACAGATATAAACCTCATTATTTAAAGAAACAAGAAGTTATTAAAATTGAAGCACTTATGAAAAAAGACCAGTTTTCTAAACACATTTTGAAAATACCACAAATGAGGGTATAATAAAATGTCCCACATTTAAAAGTATTCATATGTGACATATTTTATGTTTTTCTGTAGTTTTTTTGTCCATGCTTAAACACAGTTTATTTTGAGTAGTTTTGAAAGAATGGAAACATGTTCAAAAAATATTATTATTGTTATTGTTGTTTGAGACAGCATGAACTATGTAGTTCATGCTGGCCTTGATGTTGCTATGTAGTCCAGGTTGGCTTTAAACTCATGGTGATTTTCCTGTCTCACTCTCTCAAGTGCCGAGATTAAAGGCACTTGCCACTATGCCCTGCTTCACAAGTTATTCAGATGTAAGATGTTTCACCTTTTTAAACCCAAAATAATAAGTCACAAATAGGGATGACTAAATCATATGTTTAGGAATTCTAATATTAAATTTTCAAAGTAATAAAAAATTAAACCAGAACATTGTTAGTACTATTACAATATCACAGATATATCTACATATGAATAAATAAAACAAAATGTAGTGAATTAAAAACACATGAATCAACTAGTATTCAAGTGTGAAAGCCTCATCTATTGTGAGGGTCATTGTGGAGAAATGCTAACATACTAACAGAACTGTGTAGTGCTAAGGCTTCTTCTGAAGAAACAAATTTCTGCCGGCCAGTGTCTTCCTGTGGACCTCGTGGATCACAATTAAAAATAAGAACTGCATAAGCACCACTATTTTTACAGTCAAGTGTACAGATAAAAGAGGAAACCTGTAATTAGAAGCCAGGCCTTCTCCCCCCTAAACCACTCCACTCTACATTCCGTTACTTCAATTGGATACATGACAAGATCAGATGTCTATTCCATGGGTTGTGTGATGACCAAGTAAGAGGATCACTGTGAAGGATTTTGGCTGGAGGAGGGTTTGGCTGAAAAGAGGTGACAATCAGGGGAAGAAGTCTTCAGGTTGCTCATGAGAAGCAGTTCCTGAAATCCGTTGGTCTTTCCTTCTACACAGTTGCCTTAGGAATTCTTAACTTCTTATCAGTCCAATTATTTAAATACAGGATGACCATAAATTGCATTTTTATTAATTTTATAAGACAACATAGCAGGAAATATAAAAATGACAACTTATAAAATTTATTCAATACAAGAACTGACCAGTTGGAATGACACCTAAGCCACACTCAAATCAGTACTGAAACAATCACGCTGCTGAGCATCACTCTCAAGGTAAACTGTTAAGTACTTCATAGCAGTGGGGTACTGGACTCCTCTGCAGAATAGCTGCAGGGAGGTGAAGCGCGATGTCAGCTGGAAGACCTCAGGAGAGTGCCTGGGTTACGATGAGGGAGGCTGATTTTGCAGGGTGGCTACAATGACAGGCTCACTCAGGCAACCATAATGCTGTGATAGCTAACTGCTCCGAGTACAACTGTGTTATGCAGTATCTTAAAAGCGATATGAGAAAGTGTTAAATCCTCATTACAGTGGTATAGTGAGGATAATTAATCCCCATGTATAGGTCAGAAAATGGAACTTTGCTCAAAGCCATACAATTCAAACTCAAAAACTGTCTGGAATGCCTCAAAAATTCTGCAGAACTGATAAGAGCCTGACTGGACCATAACAAATACAAGGCACAGGACGCTAGAAAAAGAGTTCAATCAGCAGTTTTCCTCAAATCTCAAAAGCCCAGTCATAAAATTAAGCCCTTAAATTTTATTTAACAATAGTCCTCTGAAGATAGCAATGTATGTTAAAAAAGAAAGCAGTGCATTAAAAAAATCTGAAAGCAACTATTATCTCTTCATGGTGTTGACCAGAACTGCAGGGGTCAGCAAATTCAATTTCTAGCACACTGTAGGAATGTATTTGCAGTACAGCACTCCTCATGGTAATCTGTCCTTTTGTTTATCCACCCTAAGGCTACGGCTCCATTCACTGCTGGACAGCTCTAGTTAATCAGAAAAGTTTTCTTATATTAACTAAAAGTCTATGCATTCATCAATAGCATCTACTATCTGCTATATCTAATAACTTTTCTTTAGGTTTTCCTCTAAGCTAACCACCTTTGCTTTCTGCACCAGACTTATAAATGGATGGCTTTTAAACCTTCTCTTTCCCCTCACCTCCTTCATTTACCCTCATCCTCCTTGCATATCGTGGCTATTGCAATCACCATGGCTCTTTACTCCCTTTCTCACCTTCGCCTCAATGTGGATATTTCAGTACTTTAGTTCCACTCCTGTTACCAGACTGCCACTGCTCAGGCAAAAATAGAAGATAAAAGTGCACTATTTCTAAAGGGAAGGTATATATTCCCAGTAAACTGAATTTGGGACTGAGTGTATTTTCTCATCAAAATCTGGGACACATTGACTGGTTTAGGTAAAATCTAGTTAACATAAAATTTAGTTAATGCTGTCATGGAAAATATATTTAATGGAAAAGTATTTTAAGTGCAAATATATTTATATTTATTAGAATACAGCTAATAGCTAAGTAGGAATATGCTTACACATTAGAAAAAATTTAAAAAAATTCTTTTTTGTTGAGCTAAGTTCTCACCATGCAGTTCAGGCTGGCCTTGAACTCACTTTGTAGCCCAGGCTGGCCTTGAACTCACACCAATCCTCCTGCCTCAGCCTCCTGAGTGCTGAGATTTCAGGTGTGCACACCATGCCCAGCTCAAAACTTTGAAAATTATAAGATCAACCAATGTCAAAGAAGAGTTGTAGTCTGACGTCAAACAGTTCTGTGTTACACAGAATAATAAACAAAATTATTAACACAGAGGACTCCTAAAAGCACAGAAGGTTTTGAACTTAGCTATCATAGAAAACGATCAAAATTCAGTCTATAATTTAGGATTGTTTTAGACTTTTTTTTTTTTTTTTTAAGAGGGGGGTACTAGGGATCAAACTCAGGACTTGCACTTGCCAGGCAGGTGCTTGAGCTGCTGAGCTACCTCACAGGCCCTGGGGTTATTTTAAGCACCAAGAGTACCATCTTACTTTGTGAAAAAAATTGTATGGTTCCAATAATCCACTGTTAGAAGATTTGGAAAAGAAATGCTTCAAATTCGTTTTCCTATCATTCCAAGTTTAAATATATTTAAAAATTACATGTTAAATAATGAGGTAACTAATACCAAGCTTTTTCAAAGACAGATATGATCTCTCCTTTCATGTTTATTTCCAAGGCAAACTCCAAATATACACACAAAAAATCCCTTAGTAGATCCATGTCCCTCCTCCTCCTCCTCCCCCTCCCTCTCCCCCTCCCTCTCCCCCTCTTCCTCCTCCTCCTCCTCCTCTTCCTCCTCCCCCTCTTCCTCCCCCTTCTCCTCATCCAGCCCCTCCCCTGCTCCTCTGTTGGACACAGGGTCTTGCTATATAGTGCAGACTGGCCTTGAACTTGTTTTATGCAACTCAGGTTGGCCTTCAACTCACAGTGATCCTTCTGCCTCAACCGCCCATGAGCTGGAATTACAGGCAGGGACCATCACGCTCAGCTTCCTACAATCCATGTCTATTTACAATCTAATTTCTAGTCACCTATCATAAATTTGTAAGGACCATGCTTTTTAATGAAAATGTTTTGTGTCTACCACTCTAATCTTATACTGTTTGGTTAAGAAACCAATAATAGAAAGTGCATCTGTCTTGGAAGGTGTCATCAATAGGAAACGTGAATTCTTCACACATGTACCTACCTGCTAAGCTCCCGAAGGTAAGCTTTCTGCGGCCCACTTTCTCAACGAGCCACACTCCCACAAGTGTGAAAATGAAGTTTGTGAAAGCTGTCACTGAAGCCAACCATATTGCGAGTCTGTCATCTTCCACACCAGACATCTGCAGGATGGTGGCACTATAGTACCTGCAAGACAAACAATGGAACAATGGTTGCTGAATGTTTTTTTCTCAAGAAAGTTACTCAGAGACAAAAAAATGTAGATACCTCAGAAAAAGAGGAATCATGGCTAACTATAATAATATCAAGTTATCAGCTCAAAGGAGCTGTTTATAGGAGCACAGCCACAAAATGCCCCCTAAATGTCTTATACGGGAGGTAGGGACTGGAAGGGATGGGTCACTGGAGACGTGACTGGAACAGCTGACTCTTCTGGCTCTTCCTTCTTCCACTATGGCCTCCTGGCCACTATGATGTACAGAGCCCTCCCACCATGCTGCTTCTGCCACTGATCACAGGCTGAGACTGTGAGCCAACATCAACCTCTCCTCCTTCTAAACTGTGGGCACATTTTTTTGTCCCAGCAATAAGATACGTAAAACAGAAAACTGGTACCAGGAGAGGAGTAACTGCTGTTGACATGGCTAAAGTGATTGTACTTTGTTTCTATCTCCCATTTTAGTAGTCCCTTAAACTTTACTACTTACCCCTCCCTTTAGCGAACCATAAACCCATCAAAGCCAATAGATAAAAACAAACTACGGGTAAGCTAAGATTAACTGCATGCTGCCTGACAAATGAACACCTGGGAAATGTAACTCTGTGACCTTCTGTGAAAACCCCTGCAATGTAGTTGCTATGGCGATTGGTAACTTGTTTAATGTATAAAAACCCCTGAAGAACAAGGCCTGGGTCTTCATCCATTCCAGCCAGCTGAACACAACTTGCTTATACCCTGTTGGCCTCCATGAGAGTTTTTCACTATCTGCCATTACACCGTGATTATACCTGACCAGTTCGGAAAGGTTTGGAGATGCAATTAAGAGAAGCGGTAAAACAGTGGTTGCAAATCTTTTGAAGTCCTAGTGCCCAACTGCCACACAAAACTCACTTATTTACTGCAAAGTGACAACTAATTAAATTTGATACTGAGGTTTTTGTTTAGAACAAAAACAACTGTTATCTGACACTCAGCTACTGGGCATGACTTGGCTCGCATGCCAGCAAAGCACGCACCATGTGTCCACTGCACCACACGTGCCACAGGCTCACAACCACTGACCCAGAATGTGAGCAGTGCTTGGGGTGTGCCACTGGTCAGAACTAAAAAGACCTGTTGGAAATAAGGACTCTGTTGGCAGTTGGATTACAGAAAATGCACAGTCAGTCTGTGGCAGAAAATTTATCTTTATTTTGCCTATGCTCAGACTCAAGAGTATAAATGGGAAATGACTTTAAAGTACACTGCTTTTAGAAGAGAGCCTCAGGAGGCCCAGATAATTCAGGGTTGCCTAGGGAAGTATTTCCTGTTGTTCAACCATCTGGGCACTCATGGGCCACTGCAGTCATGGCCCACGGGACGCAGCTATTGTTCTCAGTGGCAGCAGATGCTAAGGCCATTTACATGGTGATGGTTTCTAGGTATTCAGAATGCAAGAGTTGTGGGGTCACGGAAGCTTCCACCCAGATTTCACAAGACCGCTGGGGAGGCCAGGCAGTGTGCTATGGTGAAGAAAGTTCATAAAGTTGTGAGAGTGAAGCCGTACTGGCACAAGAGACTTCAGGAAGGTGTAGACACCAGAAATGTGGATTGTCTGCTGTGGAAAGTCACAGGCAAGGAGCACAGCCAGCCCACGAGAGAGGCCATCTGCTCCGAGACTGACAATGTTACAGGCACTGGTTTAGCCAAGCCCTTTGAAGCTGACATCTCACCACAACCTGTCCAGAATGCTGGATATGTAAGATTTAATGTTCACCTTTGCCGATTTTCAGTCTTGCTTTGGCCTGACTGAATTTATGAGCCCAAATAAATAGCTCCTCCTTTTAAATTACAGATGTTGAATATTTTGTCCCAGTGACAGGAAAGCTGACCAACACAGAGGCCTAAAAACTTCCAAAGTAAAGCATATCCTATCACTAAGGAGAGTGACAGTTTGTGATTTCACTCGAAAACTACCAAGAATAAGCTCCAAGTTGAAGTCATGAATCAGAAGTCATTGTACACTGTGAACTAATGTTCTTAAAAGAATGAAGTGACTCATTGCCTGTAATAAGAAAATGTGATCAAATGGTAAAAATGAAACAAGCAAAGAATTCTCTCTTCAAAGAATATACAAGAATATGTCAGGATATACCCAGTAATACATGAGAACATGGTTTATGTGCATGAGAATGTGTTGTGGTTCCTGGAAAAGTGGACACTGGTCAGGTCAAATCTCCAGCATGATCTGCCTGATTAGCTCCGAGACTCATTTTGTACTAAATGAGCTCACTGGAGACTGGTTTTTAAGACTATAATGCAAGTTTGTTGCTGCACATTGTCAGATATGTCTGTGACATTTAAGGATGACAGGTTTCTCGCAGAACAGTTCTTTTCTGGTGAAAATGTTAGCAGCTATATAAGTTCCCTACTTTAAAGCTGACCTGAGAATAAAGAAAGCAAAAATACTTCTATTGATTCATGATGAGATGTAGTAGAATTTAATTCCAAAGGCCCATTCTGAAATACAGCATTCCCTAGCAATTTTAGGCATTCTAAAAGATGTTCACTTTAACCCGAATTCAACAAAAAGAACCAAGCAGTATGTAAAATCAAGTTGGTATCATCATCATTAAAAATTTACAGTTTCCATATACTTATTAACATTTTCATATATATCAGAACTCAAATCTTTAAAACTACATTTGGAGTGATTCACTAATGGCTTCTATTTGGTATTTTAATTAATGACAGTTCATATGTAAAATATTATACCAGTATGAACACATTCATTTTGACAAGTTTTCCTATTTTTAAGGTAGTAAACTAAACTTATAAATACTATGCAGAATGACAGATGAGTTTTGCTAATCACATTAAAAATTAGACTATTCTAAAATTTTTGAATTCTGACTGATGGGGCAAAAGAGACTCCATTTTAAAGAAGTAAGGTTACTTAAGTTCACTTGAACCATTGATAAACTCATTCTCTCACCCCTCCCATGAAGCTAACCATTAACTCACTTAGAGAAAATCAGGGTCATAAAACAGGAACAAATAACTAAGCGCCCGCTTAGGCAAGTGCCAGGACCAGGGTTCCATCTCTAGCACCACATGCCACGCCTGCCCAGCCCCTGGGCAGGCTGAGTCGGCCACCAAGATTGGGCGTGGAGGTGCACACCTGTAATCCTAGCTCTGGTGAGGCTGAAAACAGGAGGATCACTATGAGTCTGAACTGCATAATAAGAACCTATACCAAATAATTAAAAAAGAAAAAAAGAAACAAATAGGACAACTTTGAGAATAGGGCAAACATTAAACCATAATGCCCTATGGCAGATAGATTTGTCAACAGTATCTGAGAAATGTAAATGTTCTTGTAAAATTCCTAAAAATGAGATAACGTGGTCACTATGAAAACCTGAAAGGTATACAACCTGAAAGCAAAGTTCAGGCAGGTAATGACAACTTTGGGAGTCCTGATGAAAAGTCGGGCCATCAGTCAGTCACAAGCTTGCAATAATAGCGTGCTTATTCCTATGTACTTGGTCTTTTTGTGTGGAGGTTCATCTTCACTGCCTGTCATCTGCTGCTGCATGACAACTGTTATAAAAGGGAACTACCCAGTGAAAGTACTCCCACCATCATGAATTGTGAATATTTTGCAATCAAGAGTGTACAGTGATGATAAAAATTATGAAACAATCCATCACATCTGAATAGTGCATGACAGGTTCCAAGTTCTACTTTTTATATTTTCATAGAGACTTGTACAGCAAGGTCAAACTAAAGGGCATCCGCTGAAAAACTAACATAAAATAACTGACCTAAAAAAGACAGGAAACAGAAATCTTTACAGAAAAATCAGATAAAGTCAAAAGAAGTTGAGATTTGCCATACTAAAATATCAGTCTCTCTCCAATGTTTCATGAAAAGATATTCTGCACAAAATAATTCTTAGAAAAGGATACATGCATGAAGAAACTAAACAAAACAGAGACTATTTTGATGTTTTTAGTTTTGTTAGAATAAAATAACAGAATTGTAGGGCTTAAGTTTGGGGATATACAGGCAGTTGTATAACAGATTTTTTAAAAAGTTTATTTAAAATGAAAAAGTGAACAGGCATTAAAAAAAAAAAAACAAACAAACAACCTTTCATATTGCCAAAGCATTCTTTTTTTTTAAGAGTCAAATTTTTTAAGGAGTCAGTGCAACCCAACACTGCCTAAGGAACCCAAAGCCTATACTGAGTACTAACTATATAAGTTAACTTACTATATAACTTAACCAGGTAAGTTACATGGGTTACTAAGATCCAAGAGATATTACTAGATCCTTTTGCTGCCTTGAAGAGACTTTTTCATTTTGGTGTGTATGTGAGGGGTGCACTGGTAATTGAACCCAGGATCTTTGTTTCTAGTTACCTTCCCAGCATCCCTGTCCTCCCATTGATTTTTTTTTTTTTGAGATAGGGTTTTGCTAAATTGTCCAGTTTTAGCTACAACTTGTGATTCTCCTCTTTTATCCTCCCACCAGCGTGCTGTGATTATGCATGTCATCTCTGTTTGCCATGCCACACACAAGCCTTTTTGAGTTTTGAATCAAGAGAATGAGATGAAAATAAATTTTAATATCCCAGGGTGTACAATTTATAGTACAGTGTAAACCATAATGCACCAATTTTATTTGATCAGAAAGGTTTCTTGCAGATAATTTATTGTCTGTAAATGCAGTGGAAATGAAGGAAATCACATATATGAAGGCCAAAAGTGCGACAGAAAATGATAGGTTCATAGAACTTAGATATTTTATCTTGACTGAATATAAGGTACACATGATGAAGAGGTATGACATAAGGCTGTGACAGTTTCTATTATGGAGAGTTGGTGACTGCAATGTTACCTGTTTTGGAATTTATTTTGTAGGCAACGGAAAATCATGAAATAGACTTTAAAGAGAAAAAATAGGATGAAATCTAAGCTAT